GAAAGACCAGGCGGTTAGGCATCTCTCTTTATGTTTAAGAATGTTATTTAATTTCTCTCCAACAGACTCAGGGGCAGAGACCTGTAGAAGTTTGAGAAGGGAAACTGAATTTCAGTGCGGATGAAACTAGTTCATCTCAGTGTCTCATTTCTTTGTTGTCTTTGTTTCTTTCTAATCAATGTCATGGCCAGTATTGACAGTGTAGCCTTATCAGTTTCTATGTAGCATTGGAGGTGCTCAAGCCACCTTATCATCCTCATGGCTCTCCTCTGGACTTGTTCCAACAGTTCCATGCCCTTCTTATGCTGAGGACACCAGAACTCCACACAATACTCCAAGTGAAGTCTCACGAGAGCAGAGTAGAGGGGCAGGATCACCTCCTTGGACCTGCTGGCAGCCCAGTGTGAAAGCTGAGGAGCCACGTGGCTGTGGTAGCAGGCACGGGATCCAATTCCAGGCAAGTGAAGGGCAAAGTTTGACAGGGAAAAAACTACCTTCTTAACCCCCCTTCATGAAGTACATTCCAGTTTGCACAGAAAAGTCCTTTTGTTGCTCTTCTGCCATGACCTCTGTCTGTCCACCCAGAGACTGAAAGTGCCAAATCTTCCTGAAAGCCTAGAAAGTGCCTATAACAACATTGTGGGTACTACCACAAACAAACATTAGTAAAGACAAAGTCCTGTAAGATGTTAAAAGGAATGTGAAGGCAAATAGTCTTGCAAAATGCAAGAGATCAGACTCAGTTATTCAAAGAGTCTTTCCTGGACCTCGTTGTTTATCATTCCATGATAAGGGATATATTTATCTTTTAAATTCTTACTAGTCAAACAGAAGAGCTTTGCTTTTCCAGAGGAATGATTTCCCTCCATCCCACTGTGAACACTGCTGCCTCCTCCTGCCCTCCCTTCTTCCCGATACACACAGCTCCTGGTGCGTGGCAACAGCAGTGGAACATGTCAAGTACATTTTTTCTCCTTAAAGCACGTGTAGCTGGGAGGTCACAATCCTTACAAAGTCAAAGTTTTGTGTGTTTGAGAGCTTTGCCCTACTACCATGTAATTGAAATCAAGCTTTTAAAAGCTCATGGCAATGTGTTTGTTCTTTAACCTCACCCAGCAAAAAGAGAGGGCTTTGCTGAGAGAACCCATTGTTAAGCTCCTGCACTTAACTGATAAGGCACTGATACAACCAGTAGCAAAGAAAGAAACTAATAATGAAAAAGAAAAAAGATTCACATGCCTTCCTTCCCCAGTACATTAATGCCCTGCCCAGATTAATTTCCCCAGTTCTTAACAAATGAGGGTCAGCATCTTTAATCATATTAAAATATTGTTATGAGACTTATTTAATAACAGTCAGAGGTAATGAGTTTTCATGTCAGAAAATGGAGGGTTTCATGCCATTTCAAGGTCTGCTCATTATCCATTCTTACATGTTAATGATAGATGTGTCTGTTACTGAAAAAGGTAGAGGATTTATTTGGGATTGTTGTGAGAATAAATGACTGAAACAATACTTAAAACATCTTACATCATCTCTCATGCATATGGGACACTTAACACTGTTATGTGAAAACCGCTGAGCGCATGGGGATGCAATACAAAAATTTAAAAGAGACTGAGGTGCTGTTTCTCTGATTTCAAGGAGATGACATACAGGTTGTGAGAGTGTTTACAGCGATCAAACCAATTGCATCCTTTCCCATCCAGTAACTAGGAGCTCATGGGTGAACTTTGCAAGTATTTGGATTCCATTTTTTTTTTTTTAATTCATGTCAAAGACTGTTCACAAAAGCATTTGTTTCCTCAGTAGGTTTGCAGAAGTATGACCTGACTTTACCAAGTCACACCTCTGGCATAGAATCATAGAATCATAGAATCGTTAGGGTTGGAAGGGACCTTAAGATCATCTAGTTCCAACCCCCCTGCCATGGGCAGGGACACCTCACACTAAACCAGGTCACCCAAAGCCTCATCCAACCTGGTCTTGAACACTGCCAGGGATGCAGCATTCACAACCTCCCTGGGCAACCTATTCCAATGCCAAATGCCACACAGTTTGCAAACCCAGAGATTTCCACTGGCATGAATATATCTTGCAAGGATCCAACCATTCCCAGCTACCTAGCTTGCTGATCCACAAGTTTTAGTTTCCTTACATCATGGTGTCTCTGTGAAAAAAGAACAGGATTTCAGTACATAGTTTCTACTGGCCTCCCAGCCTTTGATAACATGAAATGATAGCTGAGATCCAGCAGTGGAAATCCTAGAATGATGGTATCATTAAAGACAACAAGTTTCCAAGGACACTAATTGAATTCAACATTCAAACATTTTTAAATGGAAAATTGCTAGTAGCCAAAAGGTTTTTCCTGGGAAAGCACCCAATAGAACTTAGAGCTGACTTCATCAAAGGAGATTCTCAACTGTAAAAAATGATAACACCCTAATGGCAAGAAATGCTTCAAAATCAAATAAGCCTTGGAACAGTAGTAAGTGGAGTTTGTTGTAATACAGCAAATATCCATGTGCTGCATCTGCAAAGAAACACTATAAGATAGTCTTTGAAAGGGGAAACTTCCACATCAGCATAAAGTCCTTAAAAAAAAGTAGTGAGCACTAAGGACCAAAATGTTTTTATTGAATGGAAAGCCAAGCCACTTTAATAATAACAAAAGTCTATACAAAAATACATTCCTCTTAGCATAGGTAATTAATAAAAAGGAAAGAGAAAGTCTAAAAACAACACCATTCCCAGTAGCTTGACTCATCTTTACAGCTGAAAGCTGCACATGTCCTTATTTAATGACTAGTCATATTATTGAAATGTTATATTTTTCCTTCTCGACCAGTGGGTAAGGAAGCACCCTCAGAAATGGATCGCTTAACTCAGGAACCCAAGTTGGAATTCTGCTGACTTATACAATCAGAGAGCGATGTAGGGAGGCCTTTTTAATTCATTACTTTATTTGCTGCTTTATCATGGCAGCAGTGTAAACACAGCACAAAATGGTCTGATTCCCACAAGGCTGCCATCTACCTCCACAGCTCAGAAGACAGGTGGATGCAATGAGCAGCAGTGCAGTTTTGAGCAGCCTGTTAGGCAGCAATCACTTCACACCACCTAAGTGTTATGAGGGATTTCAGTTGCATCATGGCCTAATGGTAAATAATTCAGCAGAAACCAAAATTCACATACAAACACAGACATAGCCAGAAACATAAAAGAGATCAGAGGAGAGATCCATGTCTAGGTTTGAAAGGTCATCTGTAAAACCCTATTTATAGGCATTTCTGGCCAGCTGAAGCTCTGACCCTGGAGGTAAAAGCTCTCTGAAATGTCCTCATGTGGGCAGAGCAAACAGAGCCATTCTAACACGTGAGGAAAGGTTAGGCCCAGGGATGAGTATGAGTGAAAAATATTTGGCTAGACTCCTGGTACAAACTCCCACACAATGCTTTGAAAATCTACCCCTCTGTGTCCTTAGCATTGGTTTTCAAAGTACAGCAGCCTAGAGACAGATGTGCCATTATTGTTTATGGTTCAAAGGCAGAGAACTCGTTTGGTGGGGAAATAAAATCCATACTAATAGAGCAAGTACCAAAAAATGTTCTAAGAGGGAATAAGCATGTTCTAAGGTGTTTTAACAATCTTCTGGCTCCTAGCCCAGAACTCAGTTGGAACAATTGTATTCATCTCCAGGCCACCATTCTTTGAACTTATGGAAACCTATGGTTATATTTAGCTAGTTTAAAGATATATATGGCCAGCGCACTGTAACCCTTTTGTCAATGACTTGCCATTACAACTCTTAATTTTATTGCTTTTTAACCACAGTTGCTTAATTCATGGGTTCAGCTAAGAGGATGGAAGGCAGTTGATGGATGCTGTGACAATGGCAATCCTGGCTGCTGTTAAGGCATTCATCATTTTAAGAAGAAAAGCCAGCTTGCACCACTTTCCTCAATGGCTCATCTCAAAGTTACACATGCTCTGGACCAGCCCAGTCATGAATCTGTGATAACCAGCCCATTTATAGTCCCATATTAATTTGAGACTATTAATAGATCTGCTGTTAATAAGACAATTGGCAGGCAGAAAATCCCCTTAGATATGCAGTGTACACTAGGCATTGATGCTGACAGATTTTAGAGTGTAAGCATGAAATTTAGCAGTCTCTAATACTGTACAGGTGCTCATTTATATGGGGAAATATAAAAAAAAAATCACTAAAGAAACATGAATAAAAAAAGAACTTGTACAGCAAGCCCGTGCCTAAAATTTTTCAGTTATCATGAGCTTCATGTTCTTTTGGTTATACAGGGGTTAATCAGGAGCAGATGAAATCTTAACGAAGAGAGAATAAAGCAGAGTAATTTCAGAATATTCATAGAGCTGGCATTCTCTGCCTGTATGATTATAAAGATCAGCTCTGCAGATAATGTGCCAAAAGGTCAAGCAATTAAAACCACTGAAGCTCCAGCCTACTAATAGGTCTGGTAAAAGAAAAGTTCAAGTGAGAAGCTGCAGAAGTATCATAGCTGCTCGTCTGGGCAGACGAGGTTTCCAGCAAGCCCAAAATAGCGTTACAGATATTAACGCTAATCTCTTAATGGTAATAGTGAGAACTTGGAGGATAAGGGACAACTTTTCTCACTTCAGCCTTCCAGTTCTCAGGGCCAGCCCTGAACAGGTAATTTCATCCAGACCACCGGTGTTTTGTAGCTACCAACCAGGACTGGGTGGCATCACAAAGGATGAAATGAAAATTTGAGGTTGAACATGCCACAGGATTGACTGGCCTTTTGTGTGTAGCCTTTAGGCTTGTATTGTGGCATTTTATTGCTATAAAATTTATTTTACAAGTCCAAAGAAAGTGAAAGGAACCAGAGGAGAAAGACAGCTTTTAGTTAGGGTGCATCACACATGTGGAGCAAAGCAGCTGAGACTGGAGGGCTGAGGTTGTTTCAAGCAGATATAATTGGAGGCAGTTGTGACAAGATACTTCTTTCCTTCCTCTCTCACCTCCTTCCTGCTGAGGGCTCCTATACTGCCAGGATCGGTGTCCATGCAGGTAAGTGAGGAGACAGATAAGTTCCCTAAAATCAACTGGGGGAGCAGGGTAATTTTCAACCCTTACTGGGGTTTGCAAGAGTATGGGCTCAATGGATGCATCAGGAACTCATATTTGAAGGAAGGATAAGATGAAATTGCACCTTTCAGCAACAGCCCACACAGCCGTGCTTAAAGCAGTCATGAAATCACAGCTTGCTCTTCATTAGATCTATAGATCCCTAGGAGGAGGAGTATGGCATAAAGGGAATGTGTGCTGTAATTCTTTCTGGTGTTTTACTGCTGTTGGTCAATGAGGACAAGCAATCTTGCAGTTACCATAGATTACCTGCTTGAGAGTTGAGCCCATCAAAGCATTCAGAGAAATGGTTATAAACAGGAGTTGAAGGCAATCCTTCAATTCAGTGCCTAAGTAACAAAGCAGTTAGACATATGTCTGCTGTGAAGACTGTGTCTGAGTGCCAGCACCATGTTAAACTTCACATTCCCTGTTTCACTCAAAACCAAGAGGTTCACTAGCTGTGGGTTCAGCAACTGCAACCACAGCTGTCTACAAGGGCTCCTGAACTGCAGCTTCCTTGAGGAAGCTTGGAGGCATCTAGATTTCATTTTCTTTTGCAGAAACCTAGGAAGATGTGCAAACCACCTCCGCAATAAAATCGAGTGAGAACGTATATCAAAGAATACAGTAACATATAAACTTTTTGAAAGCATATCAATATGTTTACTGCTTTCTATTTCCATATCTTTAATAAGCTAACCCAAAGCATTCCTAAAACTGCTTGTTTATATTTTTGAGAACGTATTAAGTGCTCGCTAGCAGTTGTCTGCTGCTCTTTCTAATGCCTTTCAACATAAGGTATTAACAGCTAGGATAGGGATTTCACATGGAACAACCTTGAGATGTAACCCCATGTGCAATCCATAGTTCGGACTGTGCTCATTAGAAAGGCAAACTAAGGTGCAGGGAAAAGTAGACAGTGAGGGCGTTGCATGTATTATTTCAGTTCCGTGATACCCCTTGACTGTTGTGAATGCTTACTCATAATTATATTCCAAAACTCACGAGTGTTAATTAGTCTTCTCCGATGAAGCACAGCATATGGCAACTGTATCCGCCTCTCCGCATCTATCACTGGTAGGCAGCTGAGACCTGTCCTTTGAACCTTAAATGTTTTTTCTCTAATTCTCCTTTTACCCCTATTTCTGTCTCACTTCTTCAGTTCCAGCTCATCTTCCTGACCTTTGACCTTCCTTCTCAATGCTGACACAAGGACCATGCATTGTATAACAGCCAACACCATGTTACAACATGGTCCTACTCAGCTTTTTTTATGGTACCATTAAAGAAGGTGCCCCAGCAAGAGTTAAAAAAAAGTAGTATTTTCTGTCTGTCCGCGTATATATATTCATGTATCAGGCTAGGAAAGCATATTTTAGTCCTTGTCTTACCCCCAAAGCCTGTATTCTTTTCATGAGCTGTCAGAAGCCCGAAATCCTGTTGGAAGAGAGCCAGAACCTCCACCTTCAGAGACACAGGATGAAAATATGCCTTTCCCAGAGAACTTTCATTTTCTGGTGTATTCTTTATAATCTTTCCATAAGAATGTACCACATAATCCAGTCAGGAGCAGTGTTTCCCTTCTCACAGCAAACGAGTAATTCAGTTCCTGCCTCCTCTTCTTACCTCTGCATGATGTATGCAGTAGCCAGATTTCTCCCCCACCAAATGTCCCAGTGTATTAAATAGGATATAAAGAGCTGTGCACTTCAGTGAAAACTGAGAATATTCCTACAGGTTTTTGTCTTGTATTTAATTAAGCGAACAACTGCCACAGCGACATATTCTCCAATATCAGTCAGAGCAAATCTAGCTATCTGACAACAGACTGCTAATGGGGAGCTGTGACAGAATAGGTATTCAAAGGAGATAGGATTTGGAGTAATCACATGAACATCTTGCGGTGAGCAAGACACCTTTGGTCTCACCTGGATTATGCGCATAGCCTATGAAAGTAGAAACTGCTTCATGATTTTATAGCCTAAAACCAATTTTAAAAATACATAACAAAGGACTGTAACAACTCTATCCAAGTTAAACCAATGAAATCTGCTGCTACTGCACACCTCTGAGCCCTAGGGAAAGCACCTCAAGAACCTGGGATTTGAGTCCGAGACAATTAAAAAGAAGTTTATTCATCACAAGTCTGAAAGCAGAGGGTGGGATTCAGCTGCCTAAACATACATGTCTAATGCCATTTTTGATGCCTTAGGGTATTGCATCTGGCCCCCAGCTGCTGCTCCAGAAGGGAGTAGGTCTTTCATTGATCATGTCTCATATCTGCCAGTCCTGTGTGAATGCCTCAGGTGGCCTGAGGCATTGAAAATGATGCTACATGCTTATGTTTTGGCACTTGAATTGCTCCCATACCGTCTATAAGTAATTTCCGGTTCTCTTTATTTAGGGTTTAGCTTTTTCTGTTGTTGTTGTTTTCCCCAGTCTTCATTAAATCATGAAGATTAATTGTCTCCCTCAGAACCCCTTCCTACATGCCTCAGCCCAGGAGAAGCTGAGCTCTTCATGTTCTCATGGACTTTGGTGGAGCTGAAGCAACTCAACACATCTCTGAAGCCTTCTCCCTGCCCCTGGAGAGATGTGGAGGAATAATTCCAGCATGAATCACACATGGGCCGCACAGAATCACACAGCTTTCAGTGCCATAGAGCTTTTTCAAAGGACAACATTTTATTTCCGTCTGTGCTATCTGCAGTTTGGCCATCTGCTGCTGGCAGGTCAGGCTTCTGGTTGTAAAATATATCCCTTCCTCACCTTTGTTATCAGAACCTCACCTTTTTGAAAGTAAAGTGATAATGATTAACCCTCTGTAGGCATTTGAGCCATCATCTTTTTCTCCAGGAAAACTTACTTTTAGTTACAGATATACATGCAGGTGACATTGGCTGATGTTGTAACATGGGCACAGGGATTTCCCTTCTGTTCCCAAAAGGTTAAGTTACACCTTTTGCTACAGACAATTTAGGTAAGCTGTCATCACGCGGGACTGTAAAGGGGTGGTGTGAGGAAGATCTTCACCATTTAATTCAATCTATTTATGTAGAGGGAATTGTTTTCCAACAGGGACTTTACTACATCAGAATAAGATATGATGTCTTTGAAGCAGACACGAGAATGGTGAAGATACTTATTGACCCAGAGTAACTTTTCATAGACTACCTCCACTACAAATAGCTACAGAACAGTGAAAGCTTACTCTGACCTGCTAGTTAATCACAAAAAACCCCACATCAGGTTCTGCTACAAATAGCACATATTCAAAAGCAAACCCTAACATATCAGTGAGTTAACCTCCGTAAGCTACTTCAGTTTGATCGCATGAGGAAAGCTTCATAACAGCACCTACAAGTGCCAGCGAAGGATCCTGATGCATTGATTTGCCAAGACTGAAACAGAGCAGTGATCACAAGTGCTTATTTTGCCTTTTTGTAGTTCATCAGTGTCATGCAACTGTTGGCATAGTCAGCAAATGTGTCAGGTCTTGGAATAACATCTACTTGTGTAGCTTAGGTACACTGCCAAAAGGTAAGTGTTTTTAAAGAGTAAAATCATAAAGTATTATGGACATAAAGCCTGTGATAGTAAAGGTGACTCCTTAGCATTATATGCCACAGCAGCACATTTTACCAAGGGCAGGAAAAGTAAGCTTTATTTTCACCACAGTCTTAAATACTGCAGTTTTCTTTTGGATTTAGATGGGTGCTTTTCCAAGCTATAATTTTTGCTCTATTAGTCTCTGTTAAACATAGGGTTCCCAGTAAACAGTTGTGAGTTGCTCTCACATGGCACAGACCTATGACAAACTTATGCAATAATCCATGACTGTGCTCTGGGCAGCACTATGTGCATGTTGGTATAGAAGCATGAGGTTAGGGACAGTTCAGAAAACAGGTGGTAAGCCTGGAAAAAAACAAGCAGAAGGCTTACAATGTGGTCAAAGGCCAAGAGCACATGACTTAGAGGGACAGGCTAAAGAAGCGGGTTTACTTAGTCTGGCAAAGAGGATAAGGGGCAATATAATAGCTGTCAACATCTACTTGACAAAGAGTTACAAAAAATGACAGAGCCGGACTCCTCTCAATGGTGCTAGACAGTATAACAAGGAGCAACAGCCACAGAGTGCAGCTTGGCATGTTCAGGTCGGACCTCAGAAAAAAAGTGCACTTGAAGGGGGGTGCAGCATTGGAAGAGGTGCCCGGAGAGGTTGTTGAAACTGTGACCTTGGTGGTTTTTAAGACTCTATTAAAATCATGGTAGAACTCATCTCCAGCTGGCAACAGTCCCACTTCTCATGGAAGCTGAATGAGACACCCCAGAGTTTCCTTCCAAGCACCGTTTCTGTTTCCTGTTTCAGTTCTTCACCTTTAGGACTCTGTAGGGACTTACACCTTAGCAGAATAATTCACACTGCTTTTTTTCACAGCCTGTGTGAGTCTCTCAGGCCTCAAGATTTAGAGTAAGAAGGTCAGGGCTACTTCTTCCTCTAGGTGTGATGTGTGTTCTATGAATCTCCATGAAGTGCCTATGTTCAGAGGACGTCTTCCAGAGTTGAGCTTTGCTGTGAGGGCGGACTATGCTCATGTATAAATAATCTGACTTGCTGGATGCCATTATTAGGACCAGAATGGTTCTGATGTGCTCAGAAGCAAAACTTCAGATGGCTGCTGCTTTCAATCACTTGCATCTTTAGGTAGTAGCAGTGCAATGTTATTGGACTTGGGCTACTGATGATCTTGTTCAGCTATGTGTGATTTAGCAAATAATTTAATATGAACTCTTAGGAATGAATCAGTATATGATAGCAGTTACACCTGAGTCTCTCTGTCTATACATACACGTGGTCTGAGAGTTTTGCCTTGAAGAAGGTGTAGCCTGTTCTCTGATCTGAACTCCACCACACAGTCTGAAATATCAGCCATTGGTTTGGACCTTTATGTCATCACTGGGGGTTGGTGCCTTTTGGAGGCATATATCAGTGCTTCCATTTTCATCTTTGAAGGGAATCTAGGTGGCATGCAACAAAACCATACTTTCAGCTCCAAGAGTGATAAGTTCATTACAGCAATAAGAGCATTTGTCTGAAATCTGCACCAGATTTCACTTCCAAAGCAACACAGATAAAACACAGTTCTTCCCCAGCATAATTCATCCTCCTAGTCATTCTGGATTATGGTCTCCTTGAAAATGTGACTGTATCAATGTTGTCATACATAGTCATCAAAAAATCTATTCTTTATGAATTTATTCAATTCTCTCATGATTTATACTTTTGGTTACCACAGTTTCAGTGTCAAGGTGTACCAAGGTATACAAATTTTAATCATGCTTCCTAACAAAAATGAAAGTCCAACTTCTTTTTGTATGTCCTAAGCTTCATAGTTTCACTGCATACCCCTTAATTCTTGCATTATGAGAAACTGTGAAGTAGTCAGAGAGGAGTGCTGTAATGACTGCACTGAAGTGCTCAAGATGAGTAATTTTGAGTAATCTGTCCTTTGATTACATGATATTAAAGCAGAAGGAAAACCAGACTCTGCAAATAATTTATATCAATTTGCTGGTAGCTTTGATTTTCTGCAGAAAATATTCTACAACTAGATTCAGGCTGACAATGAAATTTCTCTTTGTGAGAAGCAGCATGAGCTAACAAAGCGTATCTATGTAACATATGCACAGCAGTTGCTTAACTGTTTCAGAGTGCTACCTTGATGTTATAAGATAAAAGAGAGCAGAATGATGAAAAGAGGAATGATGAGGATGTCAGTGCATTGCAAACAAATCTCTAGAATGGCTTCATTTAATTTCAGAGTTGACACTGGTAAATCACACTGTAAAATCCTCTGGTGTCCTTTATTATGCAGCTTCGTAAATACCACAGATTTCACTGATTTTCATCCCATACCTGCAAGATGTATGTGTATAAGCTACTGCTCTTTGTGTTTTTCTTCTTCATAAAAAGCAATACAAGTTTTAGAGCATCCCTTTAACTTCCACACCAAAATCTGATCCAAGAGAAGTCATGACACTCTTTTAGCAATATTAATAAGTGCCAAGGGTCATGGTGAAACCTCTCTCCTGAGGTATCACTCTTTTTTTTGCAATTTGTTTTGAGCATAAGCTGAAAGCAAAGTGCATCCACACGACAGTTAAAGGTTAGAATGATTCATGCCTGCTCTTTAACAATAAATTACCTATGGATTTCTGAAGACCCCAATTCAATTCTCATTATAATCTCACAATAAGCACTGCCATCTATGTCCTTCAACGTTTGACATAAATGATTTGAGGCAGTATGTGTTTCATCTTCGTTGATACAAGAAATTACAAGTGGCTTAATGGTTAGTGACAGAAGTTGACATATCAAAGGATTCAGAGAAACATAAACAAAAAATAAATCACCATCCCACAGCCCCTCCCCAATGTTAAATTCCTCATTTTACAAAGACCATATAATCCTTTCATTTTCAAACAAATACCACTGTATCACTGTTATTCTAGCATAAGCTAGCATAAAGCTTACAATAAGGACATGTTTAATGTGCTTTTTAATAGCCCTGTTTGAAGGACTTCTTACTGACATCATATCGCTTGGGCGATCCAAAAGGGATTACATGTGTCAGCCCAATCAATTGGTGGTAATTGTAACACAAAAGACCTATCTGAGAGCTCACACAGACACTGTAAACTGTGCTCCTATATTCACCTATCTTGTTTTAAGAAATAAATAAATAAATCAGCTATTAAATTAATTAGCAGTAAAAGCATGTAATAGTTATCTAATCTATTAATTTTTAGTTTAATATTAACTAGGGTGTCTCCTATGACAAGTATTTGACCTGTAGAGAAAGAATGGAGTAAGATCACCTGTGCAGCCTTTCAAGTTAACAAAATAGTTGCTTGAAGGAAAAAGGTGAAGGCATTCTTTAGCCTCTGCCTCGTACTCTAAGATTTTATTTGTTTTCATACAAGTATTGACTTTATGTGGGGCCAGCCCAGTTGTGCCTGACGCAGCATGTTTCTCTGCAAACTTCAGACCTTTCAGCTCAGCCTGGGGAATAGCAGAGGCCACATTGCCACTTTGCAGAGCATAGAGGGTGCATTCAAACTCTTGTCAACTGTTCAGTGGCAACTGACAAAGAGGCGACCATCCTGCTTGTCAACAAGGTCTGTGTGCCTTTGGCTTGAAGCGTGGACTCAGGAACCCTCATTGCCTCCAGGATGCCAGTCCATGTGCAGGGGCCAAGGAAACAACCTAGGCATCAGCATGCTTTCCCCATCTCCATCACTGCTCTTTTCTACTCTAACCCCAGGATTCAGGATAGGAAATCACTAGCCTGCCCACAGGGCCTGACCCTCAAAGGTGCTCAGATTTCACGCATTGTTGCTGTAGGTACGTTAAGTTCTTCTAGCATCAGCTCACTATGGCTTAACTGTTTCCAGCTCAGTCTGTGGCACACCCATCACACAGGTCAGAGTCAGCTCTCAATACCATCACAGTTATTCTGATTTATATTGGTGTCACTGAGGTCAGGTTCAGTCCCACTAATTCTGAGCAATGCAAGATTAGACCTGACACAAGTCCAAAAACCCTTTAGCAGTTAATTAGTTCTAATTATGACAAAATTATTTGCTGCCTTCTACTCCCCTTCAAGGAGAGGTTTGGGGAAAGCATTAGAAAAAGAAAGATAAATATCCAGAACACAAATCATGGTTTCACCCTTTTGAAAAACAGCATTTAGGAGGCTGACAAGATTTATTGATCTCAGTAAAAACACTGTTTCTGGCTGGAGTGCTACAGCTACAGGGGAGTGGCTGCCACAAGCAGTGCATGCACCTGCAGTGTTATCCGGCATGTCCTCTTCACCACTGTGATAACACACCCTGGGCACTTCCAGCCTTGCCATAAAGTTGGCAGAGCTGCAGGTTAAATGCAGTAACACATAAGTGAAGGGTTTCAAAGAGATAAATACATTCTCTAAGAATACTCAATCACCAACTGATCTCTCCTATTTCAAATAGTTTTAAAATAAGAACATGTTTTATTTATATGCAGCCTACCTGCCAAGGCTTTCTAAATACCTCACAAAGCAAACAAAAAGCATTAAAAAGAACCAAAATGATGGCACAGGGCAAAACTTTCCAAAGTGCCAACACTGCCCTAGCAATAAAACTAACACCCATTCTTGCTCTGCCATTCTTGGGCAGAGAAAGTCAACAAAGAGGGTTAGAAGTTATATCCTCTTTAGAGGCTAAGTTAAATGACCCTTTAAAAAACTATGCTTTTCTATTTGTGCAAAAATATATGCTCCTGTGCTTTGACATTGACTAGGACTGAACAGTTGCTTGTGGTAAGTGCAACAACTGACCATCTCTTTCACCAGCGATGCACAAGCAACTGTCCTAAACTTGTCTGTAGTGAAGAAAAATGAGAGTGGAAGTCAGGTTTACAAACATGTCTTCTGAAAACACATCTTCCACTGTTATCCCAGCAAGGGAAGCAGTAAAAATAAAATTATAATTTTCAGAAAACTAAGTTGATTCATGTGTCTGAAAGCCCTCAAACCCTTCATGTGGCAAGGCAACCTTAGCTTATTAATCTAAAAAATATTACTGTTTTTTGGTGATCCCATCCCCTGCAAAAGTACAATCCACTGACACTGTTTCAGTGGAAAATGAAACTTAAAATAAAACCCAAGTACGGGTACAAATGTGCCAACATATCACCTGTACTAAAGAAACACTGAGTGCTGCTGGAATTGGCCAATACCAGGACCGTACAAATAGAATATAAAAGTCAGAGCCACTGAGAAGCATCATACCTGAAAAATATGAATATTGCATAAACGGGATTAATTTTTCAGGTGAAAGACACAGAATATAGAACTGGTTTTGTTTATTTCCTTTAGTTAGATGACAAGTTATTATATTTTTTCCTAAAGGTTCCTTAATGGTGAGGAGTGTGAGTGAATGGTGAATTTGATCATATTCAGGATTTAAAGGTAAGGTTTCCAGAATTTTACTTTTTCCAGAAAGGAAACGGGAGGTATTGTACAACAGACAAAATTATTTCTGTGTTTGTCCCCGTTGCAATTAAATTATTGCATTATTGTTTCATATAAATTACTCTTTCTAAAGCTCGGCTGCTTTCCCATTTTGTCAGATTTTTCTTTTCTTACCGTCATCTCATGCAGTGTTTTCTGTGGACACTATCATTCATCCCTCCAAAACCCAAATTTAAAGAAGACAAAGAAGGGAGTTTTAAACTCTGTTAAGCCCAACTCAGTGGACAGAGCAGAAGGCTATGAAAGTGTAGAGAGAGCTGATCTTTCACCGCAAAGAACAAAGACTTCTGCTGTGCCTGGCAATGGCCTTCTTGCTTCTCTCTGAGCACCTGCAGACTGGGCAGGTTACAGTCTGGACCATGGTTTGGGAAAAGGAGCTTGAGAATGGGTCTAACCTTAACTGAAACTTCGAGAGCTACTGCAGTATATAAAATAAAAATATTTAGGGGAAAAAAAGTGGTAATAAAACCCACAACAAACCCAAAACAAAAAACAAGCAAACAAAAAAAAAAACCACATCAAAACCAAAACAGGCTGTGGTCAGATTTTAGACCATCTAAAGTAGAATTACAAGCCCTCATGGCATTTCAGCCTAAGATGTCAAGGAGCAGATCGCAAGACTATCTATTCAAAGCCACTAGACTTTGGTTCACCTGCAATCATCAAACATGCAAGAACTGTAGCTACACTGTCGGCTGTGCACATATAGCATAAAAGCCACACTCCTTTTATCCATTAACTTCCCAGAAACTGAATCCACAACCCTGGAGAGCAGCTAATCTGAATTGTACATTCTTTGCTTGAGATTCAGTGCCATTCTCAGCCACCACATTAAGCAAATTAATGAAGACCAAGAACGAACCATTTCAGCACTGGGTTTGCAGGTCATGTCTTCCTATCTTGTGGAAAAGGTTTCAACCTTATTCACCATATTGTTTGTTTGTCTGTAATTTATTTGCCAGATGCAGAGCAGTGTGTTTTATTCCAGGTGGATATACTAGAGACAGTCAAGATGAAGATTTAATAGTGTAAAATTCCTCCCATTTCCCACTAGTAATGTAGCACCCAATGGTCACAACAATTAGGTGAAAAGCCAGAGATCAGTGGTGTATCTATCTCAAAAATCAATCAAAATTGACCTCGCTTTTGATCTAAATGATAAACAAAATATATTTTCTTATACAAGGACTGTTAAGCATCTCTGCTCTTCTTAGAGTAGCTTTAACTTACTATGAACAACAGGGCCAGGATCTCAGCAGCAGAACTTTCTTACATTCTTCTCTGTTGATTTGCTAGTGCTCTTGAGTGATAAAAATAATGATTTTTATAATATGTGGAGTTAGTGAAGTATGTTTGGAATTTGAAAGAGGCGTTGAGCTCATGGTGTGCATCTCATTCCAGTTAGGCAGCCTTTTGCAAAGGAATGAAAGGCTCAAATGCAAAGTACAAATTATTCCTTGTCCTTCACAAGTGCCTGACAGCATTGATCCCTTTGAGACTGCAGCACATCATTAGTTTCTTTGCAACACCAGTCCTGGCTGTGCAGTTGGCACCAAGGTTATCTTGGTAAGTTGACATTAGCGGTGACATTAGCTAATGTCACTAGAATTCCAAAAGCGTAGAAAATAAGCTTCATTAAAACAAATTAAACCAAACCACATCAGGATTAAAGGGCATAAGGTCTTTGCTTTTACTGTTTCTTAGCCATCTGAACATTTCTGCACAGCAGAATTTCCCCACATGATGGGTCAGTGTGCTGCCTACATGGTCAGCAACTGAGTATTATTTTACACAGCAAAATGACAGAAGGAAAAGACAGGGAATATTGTGGTACACCAGAATACAATTCAGGAGATGTATGTAAAACTCCTCATTCTACCATAGATCAGCTTCTGTGATCCTGAGCAATTCCTTTCTGTTTTCAAAGCCTAACTTCACACCATTGCTCTAGTGTTTTCTGCTCCTTTCTCCTAGTCTTTGTATGTCTGGCTGAGCCAAATTGTAGCTGAATCTGAAACTGAACTTCAGCTTACTGTATTTTTTTCTATGCCTTTTATAAAAGGCATCCCTTCCTCTAGGCGCTGCTGTAGTACAAATTATCATTAATAATAATACGTGCTTTGCAAAGAGTCTTAATTCCATAATTATATGGTTAATTATATCAAGAAAGCAAGTACTCTAAATAGGTCTCATTGTGTTCTGGCTAGAAAAGTGTTTCTCAGACTTCAGAGCTTGCCTTTTCTGGCATAGGAGATGCTCAGGTAGGAACTATCCGTAACACACACCACAAGCAAGATGTGGCACTGTCCCTGCACAACATCCAGATGCAAAGGGGAGCAAATAATTCCTGAAGTAAATAGAAAGTAAGAGGATTGCCATTATAATGATAATAGCCCATACTGCTTAAAAATTAAGCAGGAGATGAACAATTGTACATTGTCTGATAGCTGGAAATTAAGTGAAGTCACAGAGGATAAAAATGTACTTTGACTAGTTTCCCTTTTCCTACCAGACTCACACACACCCAGTTGTTCAGCAGCCAAGAGCTTGACATTAAGAAATCTGGCAGTCCTTGAACTTTTTGTTTGCCAGCCAACAGGTCCATCTATCTATCTCACCAGCACTCAACATGGTTAATGGAGAGTTTGGTTTGATGTTTCCTACCACAGTGCAACTGCCCAGCTGTGCTGAGGAAGGTTTTACGCCTCTTCATCGTTCAGCAGCTGAAATGGATTGATTGGAAGAGAAATGAATGGCAACTTGTGTTAGTAAGGAACACTGGTCCTCAGCTAGTTCCCCCAAAGCCATACACTAGTTGAACAGTAAGGGAGAAAGGACCAGAGGATCCGCTCATACAAGAGTGTTGGAAGTGGAAGAACTGGCATGGATTTGGTCAGAATCAGTTATGGGTGTTTGCATTCATGCACCTACCTGTAAGGTCAAGAGCACCAAAAACCATGGTGAGGTTAAGAAAACTGAGCAGGAAATCGATTTTCACCCACCAGTTAAGAAGCATAAAGATGCAGACGAAGAAAGATCACCAGCACCTCTGTTGTATTGTTCTCAGCAGAGAGGATACCAGGCATTGGTAGACCATAATACAGAAGCTGAAGGAGTCTGCAATTTGAAGAGAGGGAACATTAACTGATGTCATTGGAATAAAACATAATTCTGTAAGCAAGTAGCTTTATGATAGGACAAAACAGTATAAAATCCAATAAAGAAGAATTCTTTCAGACTTTTTACTATTAGAAATAAACTTTTGACTACCCATTGTGAGACCTGTTGTCACAAGAAGACAGATGGTGTTGACACAGCATGTGATTACTGAGACAGATTTTCTTGGCCAAGACAAATATTTTAATTGAAGAGAAAATAAATATAATTTTCATTTCTTTTTAGAGCTGCAGTTGTTTGAAATCCACTGGGTAAAAACAACTATCTCATTACTTTTTTCTTTTTTTCCTGCTTCTTTATCAAAGAAATAGTGACAAAAACACATTCCAAATCTGAAAAATCCAACCAGCTCTCATGTTCCCTCATGTATCCTGTATTCCTGGATTGCGGCAGTTATGATAGTCAGATATGGCGTGAGAAGGGTGTGGAAAATGGAAACAGAACATACCCAAGCCCTGCCTTCAAACATCAGGAGCTTCACCTGCGCTCAAATGGAAGATCTAGGAAACCTGGCAGAGGAAGGTAACGCATCTGGAGTGTTGTGGCTGTCATGTAAAATGTGAAAAAATATATAACCCTGTTACAGAACTCGTGCATTTTAACAACCTACTTTATTAAATTCTATTGATTTCTGAAATTGCCTACGGACTTCTGTTAAATATATAGCAGTTTCTTCTTGTCTCTTTTCTTTTTCTTTTTATCCTTTATGGTTTCTATCCAAAGGAACATACAGCTCTTGAGAAAGATGTGGACCTGCAGCTCATATCCTTTTGGCTGTCTGCTCTGATGCTCAGAGAAAGTCTATCAGAGCATACTGAAAAAGAAACTTAGGGATAGTTTCTTCATTCTCTGCCACAGACTCCCACAGATGCCCTTAGTCAAGTCACATAACAATAGGCATCAATTTATGGATTGGAAAGATCTGCAGTGCTATTGCAAGGCTGCAGATGCAGTTATGCTCTTACTGGCCTCTGAGGCTGTGCTAGGGAGCCATGTGTTCAGGTTGTCTCCACTGCAGGGATTCCTTCTGCTGCAGCATCCCGCCACGTCCCTTCTAGCAGCACCTGACAGGATTCCAGTTGGAGCTTGCACTTTCAGTCAAAGGCTTTCAAGTTTGATCCCTTCAAATCTCTGAAGCTCACCCGTACAATTACCTCCACTGTTCAAAGCAACCCAGGGCTTAGATGGAAATAAAGAACACGAAAAGATTTCCCAGGGTGCTCTTGGAAACGTGAAAAAAATGGGGAAAAGAAGAAAAGAAGGGAAAAAAGAAAAAAAAAAAGCAGCACTACTCCTTGAAGTTCTTGCAGCAGTGACTGTTCATCTGACATTAAAAGGCCAAATTCTGCTTAGGGTAGTTGTGGCCAGCCTGAGCTGCACTAATCTGCCATAGACATCAGTGCATGAGCCATGAGTCCTGATCAGTCCACATACACAGCAAGAGCAGCCTCCAGGATACCTGAGGATTTGGAAACTGAATTTGCCCTAAAAATCGCAGAGGATCATTGGTGGCAAGCAGACACCCCCTCTCAAAGTGTGTGTCACATTTTTAGCTGGAGACATTAGAATTCAAGTTCTGTCAGACTGAGGCTCCAACACAGTGATGGATTGATGTAAAAATACCTATTTATAGGACATACCATATATTAAACTGTATTGCTATGCAATAAGCAGCACCCTTTCCTTTAAATTGCTACCAATGAACCACAGATTTTAAATATTGCCTACACTTTATTCACTTCCTAGCTTCATCTGTCCTGTTTCCAGCTTTGACCTTACTTCCTGCTTTGGTCTTTCTTCTCTTGCTAATTAGAGATATTTGTATTTCTTAGGAGGTAATCTGATCTTGCTGCTTATTTCCCACATGGATCAAAACTCTTAAAATAAAGGTTTCAGCTTTTAAAACATATTTTATGATATCTATATATATAACTAACCTCTTAGGATCATTTTTGACCTACGTCTTTTATTCTATCATAATAGGCTTATCTTTACCTGATGCTTAAAATATTTTTTTCACTGGAGTGATTCCGTCATTTACACTTTCTTTCTCTTTCTGTCTGTTAAAAAAAACATTACAAGGAAAAGAAAAATCGTCTATTGGATACAGCCTGTTTGCACTGGGCACACATGTTTATGAATCAGATAAGGCCTTTGTGTGTCAGGTAGGTGGTGGCACTAAAAGCTTTATATATCACGACATCAAAGCACTGAGGAGATGAAAGAGCATATTTTTTGCATCATAAACAATATTTACATATTGTGATATTCCAAGAATCTTTCATTTAAACAGGTGGAAAAACAGGGAAGCAAGCACACATGTAAAGCAAAGTCTTACTTGTGGTTGATGATTAAATTTTATATGGCTTTGATATAACCACTGCAATTAAGTGCAGTGATGAGCGAGGACTTGTTTTGTTCTTTATAGGGTACATATTGTTTACTAATCCTTGGTTCAGATGATAAATCAATCATCATCTGGGCACAGCTGCAAATAAAATTTTAAAGGGACAATTTTCACCCTATGGAACAAATTTCAGACTTTTTCTCTCTCCTGTGTGCTCTCCATCTCTTCTTTCCTTCCTGCCTTGAAATAAGGTATTCTTTAAAAAACTCAGCTTTTATATATTCAGACGTTCTGGATGGCGGTAGCTATTTTATATTACAAATTCTACCATTTGTCAAGTGCCAAATAACACATATGCAATGTAAACAGAGGCTGGAGATTCATTTACCATTTCAGACGAAGGGGGCTGTTAAAAACTGGAACATCCTCAATCACTGCAAATCAACACACTGCAATTTTCACTTTTCCTGATTTTGAGCATTCATCACCACTTGCTCTTCACCCTTGAAAAGAAGGGCAATAAGACAAATTACTTTAATTAGGAATTAGTTATGAGAGAATGAGGTGTTCTAATTATATCTAGAACCTCTTAGTTTCACTAAGGCTTATTTGATTTCTTAATTACTGAAAGAGAAAAGCCGCACACAAATTGCACCAGTTTTTGAAAACAGAAATGCTGTCATTCATTTGATATTATGGATTACTCTACAATGAACAGTGGTAAGGCAATAACACCTCCAAGACAGCACATGCATTAGCACAGGATGAATTTTTTTTTTTGCTGAAACATTAGAGAATCACCTTCTTCCATATCTCAAAATACATAATTTTATACACTATGGTGTGAAAACATAGATGTGACAGGCTGTAATGATTTATTTATGAGACATTATTCTTTGATGCAAGAATACATTAGGTTATAGATCCTGTTTCCACAAATATAATATGTTATGCTCTGCATCTGAGCTCCAGTAAGATACTGTAAGATGTGAGGTTCACTTTATGTATATATAAAACTGTGTATAAATATATGTTTTATGACTGTATTAGTGGCCTAAGTTGCACAAGAGTTTCTCTTTTAACAGATCCTTCAAAACATATTTTTCTCAAGATCATCTGAAAATATGGTGATACGGTCTAGAAGAACGTGTCAGGGACAGTATTTGATTATGGATGATTTGAATATTTTTCTTTGCTACAGACCTTGGATGTATCTAGTTTATCCATTTCAGGAATCTTTAGATTGTTTTGAAAATAACTATTGCGATTACCAGCAATGTTTTTTTAGCTATACGCTGCCTGACCAACCACATCTGGGTCACAGAGGGCAGCTCTAATTTTAAACCTCTCTAAAAATTACTTTTTTTTTTTTTTTAAATTTCTCCATTCTCTTGCTGAGAGTCCCCAAAATTCTCACTGTTGGTTGGACTCTTCTCCCAGCAAAGCCACTGGGCAGCATTTACCACATCTGCAAGCCCACTCAGGTCAGATCAGGACTCAATGGCCAGTATCTTTGTATCAGGAGTAAGGAGAGACTGCAAGGTCCTAACATGTCATCTCTTATGGAATATTCCTGTTTGAGCAGTGGCAAATGGAAAGGCTCATCACAAAGTGATCCATGCAAGGGAAGGAAAATGGGCTAGGAAAAGGTCAGGCACATGCCATGCATCTTACAGAAAGTTTTAACATCTTTTGGAAACTTATTTTGAATTTGTGATGAATTCAGAATTCAGGATGAGGTCCACATTTACTCAAAAGATCTCTAATTAGTTTGCTTTCTTTTTTTATGTGTGTGTAGTGATTCAGGGTCTTGTGATAGAGCAGCCTGATTCAAGGGACGTCAGGATCAACTACTTCCTCTCTTTATCACCATTTGTCATGATAAGCAGTATGTGCAACTGGAGGCATGTTTATTTTCAAGCCTAACCTAAAATACTATTTATTCTTTTAACATGTCTAAGGTGTAGTAATTGCAGTCATTTATTCCCGATAGGCTAAGTATGTGTGACAAATATTTAGGCTTTAGAAAAACAGATATGTGTAATAATAGAGGGAGAAAGGTTCAGGTTTCCTTGTTCGCTGGAGTTGCTTATGTAGTTCAAAAAAAGCCCGGTGAAAATAAAATGTCCACTTGCACAGGAGAAAGCACTGCAAGGTGGCACTGTCAGGAGAGGATGAGAAACTTGCAGCATCAGCTCTGACATGGGAACTGTCCCATAATTAAAAATCTGGAGTTTATAAACAAGAGCCAGAGCGGCTGAATGAGGCAGACGTGTCATGGGTGGTTCACGTGTGTGTGCTGGTGAGAGTAAAAAGCCAAGTATAGATTGCGTTATTTCACTCTTGTGTTTGGAAAAAATCTTTAAAACAGATTTTTTTTTTTTTTGGCAGTAGAATTATGGTTTATTTTTTTGCTTTGATATTTTATTTACATGATTTTTAATTTTTCCTTCAGAACAGCTTGATTTTAAATGTAACAAATTCCATAGGAAAAATATCAGAAATAAAAACTGCCCTGAAATATGCCATAGTTGTCAAATCAAAACATTTTATTTATTCATTGTTGACTCATAAACTTGTAACAATTTCTGTTTGCATTACAGTTCAGACAGGAACATTTTCAAAATGCAAACTATTTTCCAGATAGAGGAAAATTAATTCATCTCAAAGCTTTAAAAAACAATTTATTGTCGCTATTAAAATCTTCCTATGAAAAACATCTATCTAGGCATCTTCTAGAAGTGTGTACTCTGACTTCAAACGCCTTAGAGTTTATACTATCCATTAACTTAGTTTTAGGGTCACAGTCTCTCTACTGCTGTTTACCTAAAGACCTTGTGCTTTATCTGTCTACTTTCTCAATACATCAATCAATCAGGCTAATAAAATCTATTTCTTCCTCCTAAATATATCTTGCCCTCTTCATATCTTTAAACCTTCATGACTTCATTAATGCCTCTATATTAAACATTACGAACCTTCATGGTGCAGTATAAATTAAAAGTAATTGGAATAATTCATCAGAAACCTTTTTCTAGGCATCATCTGGGGCTCCTGAGGAAATTTCAAAGTCTTTCCTTGAAGCC